TAATGGACTTCGGCGGAGGCAACCGTCCTCCACTGAGCGTCGGCCGGTTCACACCTCGCCGTCGTCCATTAAAACCTGACAATGGTCACCTCGGAGGGCATTAACCCTTACTTAACGTATGAAGCAGGTTGGGCCGAGAGTCGTGGAGCAAAACGAGGCAGCTGGAGCGAATGCTAATGTCTCTTTTCCAACGGATCTTTAATGATGCAGACGACTGTTTCCACTCTTTTCGTTGCGTATGTGGGGTAGCACAGCGCTGTTTTACATGGTTAAAACAATCATACTAAATACATTTGAGTGTGTTGAAAGTTGTTATAGTGTTACTCTGTGGTGCGTTCGCTCGGTGGCTGGTATGAGACACTTGTTGCACTTTGCAGTAATCTAGATCAATATTACAATATCGTAATATTAAAAACTGGACTTGTGTTGTTAAATGACATGCAATTCGTTTAAAAAATATATTGTATGATTGAGAAAGCTCTCTCTGATTATGCTATGTTAGCCACTTGACAATAGTGTTGTCTCTGTGAGGTACAAACATGTTACTCGCGGTAAATCAAGAAAACAAGCGATATCAAAAATAAGACTAACCGTGTTGAGCTATAAAACAATGAATAGATTTCTGTCGATAAAAGTATCCAAACAGTTGCTCACTTGTCTAATAAAATGCATAATATATTAAAGTATCTTTGGTGTTTCCATGGTTATACGGAAATTGAGGGTAACACGGGTATGACGTCACTGATAGACGACGCAAGGCACAGTCCGTAACACTGGTTAAAATTGCTGATTTATCTGGATTTAAACATGGTTGGAAACATTTGGTATAATGTTAGTACACACGTCAACAAAATATGCGTTGTTCTAGTGGTTTTTGGATATTTTAATAAAAAATTTGTACATATTGTGCCTTGAAGTGAACTGAGGCAGAGTGAAAAATGAAGCCAGTCGAAACACTGAAGAGATGTTTGATTCCTAGAACAAATTATTTAAAACTTTAAAATACGGATATACCTCTCAGGATCACCTATCACCATGCCAATCACCTCTGCGCATTACGTTTCCCATAATCCTCCCTGGCCATCACCTGCACACTCTTTTCAATCAACACACCTGTCTGCCATCATCCTCATCTACCGCTCTACATAAGCCAGCACCACACGCACAGAGATGGTCGGGTCTATGACTAGGACTCCATCAAACGTATGGACTGCTTACCTGTGGTTTCCTACCTGTGTGCTGCTTTGTGGCGCTACCTCCTGATAATATCTCCTGTCTCCAGTTCTTCCAATGGTAATCTCCAAAGACCTGTAAAAGAAAGTGTAAGACTCTCATTTAATCTATTCAGCTGCAATCATCTTAAAGTGTGTGTGTGGTGCATAGACTGTAAAAACGGGCAGGTGATGAATTGCAGTTTAAGTCACTTCCGTGTTGGATTTAAGAGAGAGACCGGAAGGTTGCCGCTTGGTGTGCTGCAACTCACCTGGACTGTTTGCAATATCCTCCCCTTACTCACTGTGTGCACATTTGTTCATCAATAAACCACTTTTGTGTATCACCGTATATCTATGAGTCTGTGATTTCCTGACAGAAGACCAGACCCTAACGGATAAACAACAACCATGAGCTCCATTTCGTTCGATCCAGCCACTTTGCTTCTCTCCATAACCCAAGATGGCCGCCCGATAGAGTTCTATGTTGGAGTTCCTTCAGCTCGCCCACCAGGTACCATGGAACGATGAGACAATGAAAATGGTCTTCTGGAGTGGTTTGGATGACCTGCTGTTTCTACAAGGACCAGCAAGTGCTACCACAGGTACTCTAGCTCAATACATAGATTACGTGCTGTGGTTTGTCCTTCACTGTTGGCGAGGTTGTTGAAGACGCCAGCCCCACTCAGTCGCTGTCTCCCCAATCTACTCCAGCCCTCCTGGTACCAGCGTTTTTGTTTCGTTTTTCGTTCCAGTTTTTCGTTCCCTCAAGCCCGTTCCAGACCCAGAGTTCGGAATCAATCCCATTACGGCCAGTTAAATTTCCTTTCAGTCCTTGATTCCGTAGGAGAGTTTTCCCCAGACCGAGAATCCGCTCCAGAGAGTGAAATCCCCAAATCCGCTCCAAAAAGTGAAACCCCTGAATCCGCTCCAGTGAGGGAAATTCCAGAGCCCAATTCGGAGAGCTATTGCACCGTCCATTATGGCTCTAACCTCTATGGGCCCTATTTTAACGATCTAAAACGGAAGTGTCAAGCACAAAGCGCAAGTAACTTTGTGGGCGGATCTCGGCGCAGTTGCTCTTTAACCGGCGGGATAAATGACTCTTGCGCTCAACGCAAATCTAAAAGGGGTTGGTCTGAAATAGCTTCATTATTCATAGGTGTGGTTTGGGCGTAACGGGAAACAAACCAATAAGAGCATCATATCACATTCCCTTTAAGAGCATGATGAACAAGGTGCGCTTGTTCCATGGCGCAATATAACGGCGCATTTACCATGTGCGCTTCAGAATCGGTTCACAGCCAAGGAGATCGAGGTTCTCGTCAAGGCCGTAAAAGAAAGAGAAGTGACATTGGGGATGGGACAAACCCACCCAAATTAGCTTCGGTTAAACATGCATATAAAAATTTGTGTAAATGTGTAAGCTTTATGCCTATTTTTCCCATCGTCATGGACACAACAATGATTTCCCTCGTGTTTTAATATTTTTCCTTATAATAATGTCTCATTTGCAAAAAGTAAAATGCATCTGTGTAGATGAGAGAATCATCTACAGTGAATGCGCGTTGTTCACATTCTGTATTATGGCCAAGCATGCGCACTTAAAATAGCATCTGAATGTACGCGCAAAGCGCCACTGACTTTAGACTAGGTTTTTTCTGGTCAGTGGCGCAATTGTTTTCTGGAACTGCAAATTAGCACCAGGGATTGTTTGCGCTGGAACACGCCTCCTCTTTTGCGCTGAACCGCCCAGGGAGCCCAAGTTCATTCCCTAGTTTGCCGGCGTGCGTCTGTGGAGGGAAAAGTCCGCTTTGCACGGGTGCAAAATACGAATGATACATGCGTCGGTGTACAAAGTCAATTGCGCTGGGTGCAAAATAGGGCCCTATGTGTGTCTGGGCCACACACAGCTCCACACCAGTCCATGAGCACAGTCCAGTGATGGCTTCAGCCCATGAACCCGCTCAAGAGTCCACTCCGGTCCATGAGCACAGTCCAGAGTGAGCAAGAGTCCGCTCCGGTTCACAACCCCATAGCTCCTCCCAAGAAAACGTTTTGGGGGGGGGGGGGAGCATAGTGGCCCAGACTAGCTTCCGGGTCAAAGCCACGGGGGCCGATCCTCCCTGGGCCCCTGTCCTATTCACCTGCCACAGCTCCTGGATACCCTCCTTCTCACCCTGGCTGGATTCTGTTGTGCGGGAGGTCGTGCCTTCCGGAAGGGGGAGTACCGTCAGGATCACCATACTTGTCACCTCTGCGCACTACATTTCCCATAATCCTCCCTGGCCATCACCCGCACTTTTCAATCAACACACCTGTCTCCCATCATTATCTAGCGCTCTACATAAGCCAGCACCACACGCACAGAGATGGTCTGGTCCACGACTAGGACTCCGTCAAACATTATTTGGACTGCTTACCTGTGGTTTCCTACCCGTGTGTTTCTTCATCTCCGCTACCTCCTGGTATTATCTCCTGTCTCCAATTCCTCCAATGGTAATCTCCTAAGATCTGTAAAGAAAGTGTAAGACTGTCATTCAATCTATTCAGCTGCAATCATCTCAAAGTGTGTGTGTGGTGCATAGACTGTAAAAAAATATGGACGTAGTGTCTGTGACGTCACCCATAGGTTTCTGAAGCGCATTTTTGAAGCCCAAAATGTATGGAGCCGGCTGTCGCCATCTTGGCAGCGCGTCACCGAAAATGGGCAAAGAGGTGGGATTAGCTGAGGTGACGTGACAGCTAACAGACAGCAGACAAACGGCTAGTAGTGACAGCACCGGCAATCCACCTGTCACTCAAGTGGCCACGCCCTAATTACGCAGAACTTTAAGGCTTAATTTAATGGAGACTGGACTGGACTGGACCAGACTGGAGCTCAACAGCAAGTCCACAGCTGGTTATTTGCCTTGGAGATTTAACATTTTAATCACTCAAAAAAGAATTGACTTTGGCATAAATGGGACAGAAGTCATATTCTGCTTAGATGTCATATTTATTGTTTGAAAGCACATTTGAATTCATTTGTTAATCAAAAAATTATATTATTTTGAGAGAGAGAGAGAGAGAGAGAGAGAGAGAGAGATAGAGAGAGATATTCACACAGCTTTTCCCACACACACATTTTGTGGTACAAGAGGTAACAGAAAAAGTAATATATAATAAACATAAATAACATTAGCAGATCATTCAATTGAAATAAAACTGAAATAATAAATATAGAAAATACTACAAGACCTTGATTGCTAATAGTTTAATTAAGAAATTCTGAATAATTGTCATTTTCTGTACAAAAAAAATGTTCTGTGTTTTGTTCTGTGCTTCCCTTTATATTGCATAGCATTCTTTAAGAAATTTACATCATTCTTAACTCTTTCCCTGCCAGGTTTTTTTTTAAAAGAAAAGTTGCCAGTCAGTGCCAGGATTTTTGATAATTTTCACAAAATGTTCATGGCCTCCAGAACATTTTGTTGTATGAATATCTAAACGGATTCGGATTCAGAACAATGATCAAAACAATGATGGAGTCCATCAACACCCCCAAAGCATCACAGTCCTATATCTCGTCCTGGGTCGAAATTATGCTGTTTAATGATCGCTTTATCTTACATGTGCGTAAGCAATGCTTCTATCGCTTGTTTCTGCTTCTCCTTCATCTGTGTTTTGATACAGATATTTTGTACTCTATCAGAAGATGTGTAATAGCGCCCCGTATACATGGATTGCTGGAAAATTCGGTCATTGGCAAGGAAGCGTTGTGTCATAAACGATGGAAAAATCGTCATTGGCGTGGAAAGAGTTAATAATCAACTATATGTGGGTGTCTGAAGGTGAACGTATTTATTTACAAGGAAGGTCTCTATTCTACCATTGTGTGTGTGGCTGACCATAATCAGTCAGACCATTCATTCTCATCAAGCTCTGAGTCGTCTTCTGAGTCGCTGTACTCCACGGCTATGCGGCGAGAGAGTATAGTGGCCACGTCATTCCCCACCGGCTCTCGTTTAGCCTGCTGTTCCTGTTGCTCCTGTACTTTCTTTAGTTGGATGCCTGAACACACACACAAAACATGTACAATAGCCTATACAGTACACAGGGCCAACTTGTTTTGTGTTAGCATTGACACTCTTAAAATCTTATATAGTAGCTGCTGAGTTTGGACAAAAAAAAAAGCATTAAAAATTAAATGAATCATACGACTCAACATAGACATCTACATTTACATCCAAGCTACAAGAATATTACAATATTAATGGTTGGTTAATCCAAATTAATTCCAATTACGTACTGTATTGTATGTGCCTTTGTGATAAAGAAGTGCTCAAGTTAATTGTATTGAACGTGCACTTGTTTTGTACTTGTAAAAAATCTGTACTTGCGAATAATATATGATATAAAAGACGCTTGCGCTTAAAAAGTGCACTTTGTTATAATTGTCACGTCTTGTTTTGGTCATGTCTCATGTTTCCTGTTGTCATGTGATTCCCTGTTATAGTCATGTGATCCTGCCATGTGTTCCCTTGTCTGATGTGTCATGGATTTATAGAGGGGTTTCACGACGCGTCATCAATCCGGAAGTCGGCCATTTTGGAGGCACAGAACGTAAATAATGCCACTGAACTGAATGGATTCGCAAATTTGGCTGGTTATTGCTGCTAAAAAAAATGGTCGAGTTTTGGTCTGTACCAATCGGTCACATCGGGAAAAACATGTCGAGTGCTATAGACTGTCAAAAGTTAAAGAGAAGAGTGCAAAAAACTGATGAAAGAAGGCGTTTGGGGTTGAGAGAGGTACAGCATCAGACACATGTAGCTGCTAAATGATGAAGCGTTGACTATGGCTAAAATGTCGACGCAGTTAATGTTAACTATGGCTACATTCACACTGTCAGTCCAAATCCGATTATCTTTGTATCAAATTGGAATCTGATCTAAAATGATGTCCACACTGTGTATCTCAACTGTTCAGATCCGACGTGTGTCCATGCATGTTATTTGGTAATATGGCAATGACTTTGCGTTGATAAGGGGGGTTGCATTTGCAATATAATGTTAGATGTTGTCTTTTTTAAATGCTACAAATGGAAATGTGTAGCCGCCGCGCTGGACAACTGCGGCAGAACTGTAGGAGGCTGGTATACGTAACGTTACTGCTTTTTTCCCACGCTCGTCTGCGCCGGTTTCAGAAATAATACTTTTCTGCTCGTCCGGCACTTTGCAACAACACAGCATTGTTTCGGCAGTGACTTTCAGCATGTATCCTATAAATGACGTTTGCATTTTAAGACATACCACGCGAAATCCGATCGTTCAGACTGAGGCTGATGTCCTGATATGTGATTTGAATAGGATTTCAAACCACATATGGATGTAACTTGAAACGGATTTCATGTGCTTTTTTGGACTGACAATCTGAACGTATCCTATGTCGGGATTATAATAAATAGATGGAAGAATTGCAGTAATGTTACGTGCTAGAGAACCTAACTCGTTCGGATCTTTACCACATATTAACTTTAGTTTGTCAAAATGTTGCGCTCTCTCCTGCTTCCCAAGTCCTTCTCTATATGATTTCGCACCTACCACGTGTTTTTTCCGTGGTTTATTAGTGTAACAATGTGTTCAGTAGTACATAAACAGTGCAATCAATGCTGTTGTTTACATCCGAGTGCCTCCATAATGGCCGCGCATCCGGGTTACCGCCCAGAACGTGACGTTGGTGAAACCCCTCTATTGTTCACAGGTGTCCCTTGTCTAGTCAAAACACTGTTTTTACCTGTAGTGTCTCCAATGAAGTGTACGAAAACATTACACTCAGTTTGAACTTAAAGGGTTAGTTCACCCAAAAATGATGTCATTAATGACTCTCCCTCATGTCGTCCCAAGCCCGTAAGACCTCTGTTCATCTTCGGAACACAGTTTAAGATATTTTAGATTTAGTCCGAGAGCTTTCTGTCCCTCCATTGAAAATGTATGTACGGTATACTGTCCTTGTCCAGAAAGGAAATAAAGACATCATCAAAGTAGTCCATGTGACATCAGTGGGTTAGTTAGAATGTTTTGAAGCATCGAAAATACATTTTGGTCCAAAAATAACAAAAACTAGGACTTTATTCAGCATTGTATTGTCTTCCGGTTCTGTTGTGGATCCGCGTTCAGTGCCGCCGCTGACGTAAGACGCTGCTGACGTGTGTCTGGTGTGTGTGTGTGTGTGTATTCCGGTTCTGTTGTGGATCCGCGTTCAGTGCCGCCGCTGACGTAAGACGCTGCTGACGTGTGTCTGGTGCGTCCGTGTATTCGGGTTCAAATAAATATGGCTTGGCAAAAAAATGCAAGTCTTCCTCTGTGTGGAAATCCTTAGACATGTTTGCGAAGATTGTTTTGTTTCCAGCGTGCGTCTCCCTCAGACTGTAAACGAAGCTCGGGCGCACCAGACACACGTCAGCAGCGTCTTACGTCACACACACACACACACACCAGACACACGTCAGCAGCGTCTTACGTCAGCGGCGGCACTGAACGCGGATCCACAACAGAACCAGAATACACACACACACACACACACACACACCAGACACACGTCAGCAGCGTCTTACGTCAGCGGCGGCACTGAACGCGGATCCACAACAGAACCGGAAGACAATACAATGCTGAATAAAGTCCTAGTTTTTGTTATTTTTGGACCAAAATGTATTTTCGATGCTTCAAAACATTCTAACTAACCCACTGATGTCACATGGACTACTTTGATGATGTCTTTATTTCCTTTCTGGACAAGGACAGTATACCGTACATACATTTCCAATGGAGGGACAGAAAGCTCTCGGACTAAATCTAAAATATCTTAAACTGTGTTCCGAAGATGAACGGAGGTCTTACGGGCTTGGAACGACATGAGGGCGAGTCATTAATGACATAATTTTAATTTTTGGGTGAACTAACTCTTTAAGTATATTATTTCCTTAAGCATCCTAAATTGTACTTCTTTTTCACAAGTGTACTGTAGTCATGTTAATGTACAGCACTCTCCTGCTGATGTTTACAAATATGCAGAAAGCACTCGACTCACCCATGCGTATTGCTGAGAGTAGGTCACTGCGAGCGTCTGCGACGGGCTTCAGACAGCGTCTCCGTCCCTCTCCGAGTGCACCGGGATGAGGTGGAGGCGCTGGAGGAGGAGGAGGACCTCCAGGAGGCGAAGCTGAAACCGGTCCGGGAGGTGGGACAGGTGGAAGAGGACACCGTAGGGATGATGTGATTGGTCCAGGATGAGGAGTAGCTGGAGGTGAGGCAAACGCCGTCTGTGCAGAGGGAATGAGGAGAGCCAGTGGAGGAGGCGGCGGGCCTGAACTGGCATAGTACTCCATCAAACTACAAGAGAGACAGAGAGAAGCTGAAAAATAGAGTATTTGGAAACCTCTCCAAGTAACCTCTACATGGGCCAGCATACATGGTCATTGGATAGAGGCTTTTGACTATTAGCATAAAAGTCTGGTCCACATTGTAGCTTTTTCCAGTGCTCACTGTATCATTCCAGTAAACCTTATAGATGTTCACGCTTGGTTGGATTAAAACGAACCCTGGTGCGATTGCTCTGTTAGTGCGGTTCACTTGAATAAGTCTGAACGCTGCCATCTGAACCCAAGGATCGAGACGGTGAAAAGTTGAGTCTCAACAAGCAAAGCATATTTATTTCCGACTCCCATGTTAACAAGTTAGAGCAGCATTCACATCGCTTGTACTTTTAAAAAGTTAATTATAACGTAAATAATTTTAAAAGAATATATTTCAGTGCTAACTAAATGTAATGTTTTCGGACATATAACTGCATGTCAATTGCAATTAAGTGAAATCGTGTTATAGTTTAAATGCAATTAGCTGAACTTTAGAGTGCTCTTTTGACTCATTTAACCCCTTATGAACATTTTTGTCTTATTCAGCTTTGTTTTTTTTGTTGATAATTTTGCCTGTGTTTATGCCAACAGCATACATTTTGCCACAAGTGTTTTTTTTCACCCCTACTTCCTTTAATAAATCTAGTTTACACAAGTAACACAAAATAGTTACACTAAGGACCTTAATTGCCCCCATTGAAACGGCAATTTTTAATCCCAGTGCCATTTAACTATAAAATTATGCAGTCTTTCTTAATAGACTTTCATTCTGTTGCCAAGGCCTCAAAATAAAAAAAAATACTATTTTTTTTACCAGATGGTGCAATTTTCTCAGGTTGGGCCTATAAAGCAAATACCCACTTTATGCTTCTAAATATGAGCCAATTGGATAAATTATATAGCTATAGTTGCGTGGGTGTGTTGGTATGTATGTCAGAGTGTGGTTTGTATGTGTGTGTGTGATAAAAAAAATTGCGTGTACAGTGTATATAAGTACAGTTATTTTAAATATAGTCATAAGATCTGAAGTACACTACAATTGCACATTCAATACAATTAAGTGCACTTATTTTACACAAGGAGCAGAACAAAATTCACCATAAAAGCATTTAACTAATATGTGTTTTTTTTTAATTGAAGAGAAAAACTGCAACAGAAAGTTTTGCATTAGAAATAGTCAAAGAGTAGACTAAAGTTGTAGACTATATTTATCATATAAGCTACACTACACATGTTATATGGCTTAACATGGTTATATGGTGTGTGTGGGAGGAGAGACTATGCTGGCAATTGTAAACGAAAGCATGTGACGAGTCAGAGCTACACAAATTGTGTAATGGGTGCATGATGCTTCGCCTCTGCTTGCGCGTCCAGTGTGAGACTAGACCAGCACTAATTAGCATGGAAATACTAACGTTTTTTTCAGCATTCTGACAAATTCAGAAACAGAAAACTACAATATCTTGTTTATTTAAAATAGCCGAGTCATGCATGTTTGCTGTTACCCATAGTCTGTTGGTGGAAGCATGACGGCTCCATTGACCCCGTTTTCCCGGGGCAGGTACTGTGGAGGAGCTGGATGTGTTCGAGCGAGTAAAGCCACTCTGTAACCTCCATCAGCAGCCACAGTTACCCCTGCAGGCCCTCCGATGCTGTGGTACTCGTGCTCCACCCCTCCATTAGCACCCTGTGATGCTGTGTCCACGGGATGTGCTCGGGCTGGAGCGTGGCATGCTGGGACTGGGTAGTCGGAGCTGTTTGGATGTGGTCTGTTGAAAAGATGATTCATGCTAATCATGCAATAATGATTTCTGAGGAACCGAATCATAAGAAATCTAGTTTGCTTCATTAAAAGAATTACTAAGTACTTTATGTAAATACTTAACCGGTCAAAAGTTTGGAATAATTCAAATTTAAAATGTGTCACACGATCCTTCAGAAATCATTTTAATATACTTATTTTGTGCTCAATTATTAATAATGGTTCTTAAATGTATTAATGTTGGAAGTTTTGGCTGCTTAATATTTTGGTGGAAACTATGATAGATGTATTTACTGTCACTTCAATTTAATGTGTCCTTGCTGAATAAAAGTATTCATTTATTATTGTTCAAATTATTTTTAAAATCTTACTTACCCCAAACCTCTAATTGGTAGTGTATTATGGTTTCCACAAAAAAAATATATATATATTAGGCAGTAAAAATCAGCATATTAGAATGATTTCTGAAGGATCATGTGACACTGAAAATTCAGCTTTGAACACAATAACCTTTTAAAATATTCACATTTTAAATTTTAATAATATTTCACAATATTACTGTGTTTTTTTTATTAAATAAATGCAGCCTTGATGAGCACAATAAACGTCTTTCAAAAACTTATGAACACTTTTATATATAAATTATTTATCCATGCAAATAATATATATTATTTGCATGGATAAATCATTTATAATAACCACTATAATATTCTATAAAAAAAAAAAGAATTGTTAATTTTGATTTCATTATGCCTTTAAATGAATGCCTTAAAATTCTTGTATCGTATCCTTGTGCATATCATGCCGGTGTGTATTTTAATGTTAATTGTCCCATTCACTTATTATATTACTAAGTACATCACTGTAACCATTCATATTATTTTTTTTTTTTTTTTTAAACCTGAGTGATGAGTTGAAATAATTTTTTGTAGCAATGTGATTATTATGGCATAAATGCGGTTTAAAATATCAGACCTGTACTCTGGAGACAGCGAGCCCTCAGACGATACACCCCTGCGAAGTGTATGATGATGATGACGATGGTCCGGCCGTAGCTCTTTATCAAAAGCCATCATGTTCCATTCCTGTCTGCGGTTATGAGCCTTACGAACCTTCTTCACCTCACGAGGCAGCGTCCCATCAACTCCCCGCTTCTGCTCCTGTGCCAGAAGATGTAAACTATCTGAGCTTTCAGCTTCTAAAAACTCGTTCATTCTGAGCAATATGATTTTCCTCAGGGAGAGGATCCATTTGAGTGAGTTTTTACTTAAAGGAACTGTGTGTGAATGGGTCAAATAAGCAAAACTCATTCTGCTGCAAACCCAACTACATTTGCAAAAACGTTACCAGATTTATAGTCATTCAAAACATTCAACGGAGTGATTATTTTACCCTATATTTCCTCTTCTCTTTTCTCTTGTCTTCTGTGTCTTGAAGCATTTTCTCCTTCCACAAGTCAAAGAAATATGAGGGGTCTGTGTAGAACTTGATTCCATCAATATGGTCATCCCTGGATCAAACAAACAAACAAACACAACACATTTGTACACAATAAGTATCTTAAAGGGATAGTTCGCCTAAACATTTAAATTCTGTCATTAATTCCTCACCCTCGTGTCGTTCCAAACCTGTAAGACTTTCGTTCATCTTCAGAACACATGAAGATCTTTTTACAGGAAATCTGAGAGATTTCTGTCCCTCCATTGACAGATACGCAACTACCACTTTGACGTTCAAAAGGAGATCGTAAAACTAATCCATATGAATTGAGCGGTTTAGTCCCATTTTCTGATGAGACTCGATCGCTTTATATGATTAACAGATTAAATTTAGGCTTTTATTCACATATAAACATTGATCAACTCACACATCAGTGGTAAACAGAAGCTCAAACATGTTCGCTTGATGTGCAAGAACCAATGAGGTTCATTCTCGTGTTACGCATCACGTTTGAGCTTCTGCAAGAACCAGTGAGGTTTGGTTGAGCTTCTGTTTATGTTCGCTGATCAATGTTTAAAGGTGCAAAACGCAAGTGTCTGAGTTTTTGCAGAACTACGCCCCCTCTGGCGACAAGCGAAACTGCAACCAGAGTTGTGCACGCTCATGGACCACACGCATCTTTTATTGGATATGTTTTATGTTTCATGTTGTACTATTCTTCCGAACACAATTCCTAGTTTATGAAACTGTTCACTAACAATGGTAGTAAAACCAATTCTGATTGTACATGTATCTAGCTTACGCTAAAGCATTACACATTTTACGCATCGTCATTTGTTGTCATACATACGGTAGATTGGCCGTATCAAACATTAGAGACTGGGCTATATCTTACAGTTTTATCAAGAAAAAAGCCAACTGAGGATCCCGTTTAAGACCAAGAGCAGACCGGAGATCTCTCCATTTGTTGAATGCCTTCCCGAGGTTGACTCTCGTCTTACTCCGACGCCTGTCTGACTCCAATTTGGACCTTTTGGTGGCACTAGACAAAATGTTTCTATTCTTTACTTTACGTGGAGTTTGCGTTGGGGTTTGGAATGGACTACAAGCCGGTCTCTTTGAATCCATCTTCTACCTTTGACGCACGAGTTGTCTTCGCTGATGCGGAGAATAGCGGCGCCGGCGAATACACAAACCTGCGAGACATAGCCTGGTGAGCGTGAACGCACATGACGTCACGCCCAGTCTCAAATTCGAGCCCGAATCCCTCTTAAATTTTACTGTACAGGATTATAGAGGCAATCTCAGTGCGCAGAGAAGGGCTCATTCAGCCCATCAGGCAGTTCTTTAAGCATGTATAGGATAGAAAAACAGGTATTTTTAACATGAAAAGTTGCGCAATGCACCTTTAATGTGAATAAAAGCCTAAAATAAATCTGTTCGTCATATAAAGCGATCGAGTCTCTTCAGAAAATGGGACTAAACCGCACAATTCATATGGATTAGTTTTACGATCTCTTTATGAACTTTTTGAACGTCAAAGTGGTAGTTGCGTATCTGTCAATGGAGGGACAGAAAGCTTTCAGATTTCATCAAAAACATCTTCATTTGTGTTCTGAAGATGAACGAAAGTCTTACAGGTTTGGAACAACATGAGGGTGATGAATTAATGACAGAATTTTAATATTTGGGTGAATTTGGGTGCACACACACACACACACACACACACGCACACACACACACACACACACCTGTAAGCAGACAGTATGTTCAGAGGTGGTGGTTTGTCGCTGGTGTTGTACATCTCTGTGATGGGGTTTGGAGTGCTGCTCTTTGTCACCGCCTGCTGGTCTTGAACAGTAGAACTCTTGAAGGCTTTACGCATGTTAATGTCCTGAAGTGATACTGTGGCAAAAAGGAGACAGAGAGATTTTTACACAAAGTACATCAGTTATCTCTAGGCACACAATATCTTCTGCTCTCCACAGAATTAGAAAACACACCATTTACAAAGTTCTATACATGCCCTGTATAATATGAGTTGTATTTTTTGATGTTATAGTAGTTCCATTTAACACATTTACCATCAATTTTACAGATTTTCTAAAAAAGAATAGTGACAAAATGGTTAAAAATAAATTGATAATCTACAGATTATGCCAGGGCATGCCCATCATTCATGTATGTTGCTATTAATATTTCACTGGTACTGGTTTAATACTATCGTTTGGTTAACCTTTGATATTTTAAGCAATAACTTGTGGTTACTTACCACAGAGAGTCATTTTTATTTATAAATAATTTATATGCATATGCAGTCATGGGGCACTGGTACAAATTTTGTTACAATTTAAAAAACAACTAATTAAATGAGAAACATAGTTAACATGATTAAAGTCGCATGAAATATAAGGTCCTTTTTCCCCTCTATTATGACATATGGAAAAATGTAGGACAGGTTGCCCCGCCCTCACATCAGTAAACACAACATGATAATAATAATGATGTGCACGGATAAATCATTTATAATATATACTGCGATATTTCATTAAAAAGAATTGTCATTTTAATTTCATGGTGACATTAAAATACACCCAAGAAAGGGGATCCACGGGTCATTTTGAACCGCGTATCCTGTTAGAAAAGCACCCGCCCCCCCTCTGATCAAATGTATGTCATCCTTGACCTTTGACCTTTGACTGACCTTCCTCCACACTAGAGTCCAACTCAGTGACCTTGATTGCAAGACGGTCTACGCGGTCCTGTAGAGAATTAGCACGCAGGTAGAATGTATTGGCTTCATTAAAGAGCTCACCAAACACGTCCTCGGCATGTTTACCTGTAGAAGATGAGGGAAACAGACAGAAGATCGGACATCATGAGCTTTGAAATAGTCCTTTAGAGAATGCAGAAACCATCAGGAACATTAGGAACAATCCTCTTGATGCAAGCTGAGGCCAAGCTATTTCAACATTACAGTATGTCCACTCCTACATAATTATGGTGCATGATCTAATATATTGGAGAACTGCAACACATACATATTCACTCCAAATCAAATGACAGGTCTCATTCCATAGATTCACACACACACACACACACACACACACACACACACACACACACACAGGAAATTACAGGCAACATGAATTCACCAACGCAGGATCTTTGACCCCACAGAACATGCATACACTCGGCGTCCACATCTGTCGATCTCTCTCTGCACTTGATGGGATTAATGCTTTAGAGCATTTGCTGGAAGCCAGCGGACAAAAAGCATTGTTATCTCTAATCTCATTCCGTCTATTGAGTTATAGGGTGTTTGTGTAAAACAGAACTACTTGCATATAGATTCAACTCTATTATGATTTTAACCAGAACGCTAAAATGTGTTCTCAGAACAAGGCTGTCTTGAATAAATGTCAGGCTGCATATGTTTTTATTTATTTATTTATTTATAAATGTATACAATTAATCATTTATATTACTTCTAATATATATATAAAAAAAACTTCTACAATTAGTGTCAATGCAGAACTTTGTGACTTTTTGTTATTGTTTTTTAGGCAATATTTGTAGAAATGTTTAATTGGTATTTTTTGTTTTGCTTTGTTTTGCTTGGGTTTTTTGTTTAGTTTTGCTTGTTTTTATTTTGTTGCTTTGTTTTGCTTGGGTTTTTTAGTTTTGTTTTGCTTGGGTTTTTTGTTTAGTTTTGCTTGTTTTTATTTTGTTGCTTTGTTTTGCTTGGGTTTTTTTGTTTTGTTTTGCTTGGGTTTTTTGTTTTGTTTTGCTTTGTTTTGCTTGGGTATTTTGTTTAGTTTTGCTTGTTTTTATTTTGTTGCTTTGTTTTGCCTGGGTTTTTTGTTTTGTTTTGCTTTGTTTTGCTTGGTTTTTTTGTTTTGTTTTGCTTTGTTTTGCTTGGGATTTTTGTTTAGTTTTGCTTTGTTTTGCTTGGTTTTTTTGTTTTGTTTTGCTTTGTTTTGCTTGGGGTTTTTGTTTAGTTTTGCTTGTTTTTATTTTGTTGCTTTGTTTTGCCTGGGTTTTTTGTTTTGTTTTGCTTTGTTTTGCTTGGGTTTTTTTGTTTTGTTTTGCTTGGGTTTTTTGTTTTGTTTTGCTTGGGTTTTTTGTTTAGTTTTGCTTTGTTTTGCTTGTTTTTTTTAGTTTTGTTTTGCTTTGTTTTGCTTGGGGTTTTTGTTTAGTTTTGCTTGTTTTTGTTTTGTTGCTTTGTTTTGCCTGGGTTTTTTGTTTTGTTTTGCTTTGTTTTGCTTGGGTTTTTTTTTGTTTTGTTTAGCTTGGGTTTTTTTGTTTTGTTTTGCTTGGGTTTTTTGTTTTGTTTTGCTTGGGTTTTTTGTTTAGTTTTGCTTGTTTTGCTTGGGTTTTTTGTTTTGTTTTGCTTGTTTTTATTTTGTTGATTTGTTTTGCCTGGGTTTTTTGTTTTGTTTTGCTTTGTTTTGCTTGGGTTTTTTTGTTTTGTTTTGCTTTGTTTTGCTTGGGTTTTTTGTTTAGTTTTGCTTTGTTTTGCTTGGGTTTTTTTGTTTTGTTTTGCTTTGTTTTGCTTGGGTTTTTTGTTTAGTTTTGCTTTGTTTTGCTTGGTTTTTTTTGTTTTGTTTTGCTTTGTTTTGCTTGGGTTTTTTGTTTAGTTTTGCTTGTTTTTATTTTGTTGCTTTGTTTTGCCTGGGTTTTTTGTTTTGTTTTGCTTTGTTTTGCTTGGGTTTTTTTGTTTTGTTTTGCTTGGGTTTTTTGTTTTGTTTCGCTTTGTTTTGCTTGGGTTTTTTGTTTAGTTTTGCTTGGGTTTTTTGTTTAGTTTTGCTTGTTTTTATTTTGTTGCTTTGTTTTGCCTGGGTTTTTTGTTTTGTTTTGCTTGGGTTTTTTTTGTTTTGTTTTGCTTGTTTTGCTTTATTTTGCTTGGGTTTTTTGTTTAGTTTTGCTTGTTTTTATTTTGTTGCTTTGTTTTGCCTGGGTTTTTTGTTTTGCTTTGTTTTGCTTGGGTTTTTTGTTTTGTTTTGCTTTGTTTTGCTTGGGTTTTTTGTTTAGTTTTGCTTTTGTTTTGTTGTCCAGCTGTTTGGGTAAATTGTCAAAAATGATTGAAAAGAAAACATATTGACATCAGAAAATAAGCGTACATATTACATGATGGTATTGTAAAGGCAGCTTAAAAAATTCAAAATCTATTTGAGCCCATCTAACATGATAGAGTAGGTCTTACTGAGGCTGCTGAGTTGGCGTATGATGGCAGAGAGTGTGTTGTTGGTCACACACTCCAGTTCATTGCTGATGGTCTCAGGTAAAGCTCCTCTGCACAGATGCCTTGGCTCGATGTTTCTCTTGACCAGCGGCATGGCTTCACCTCACCACACACACACACACACCAACAAACTTCAGCACCTGGAAGTACACAAACACAGTCAGTTAGACCAAATATCCTCACACATCATTCACAATGTCACATAATGAAGACTAAAATATGAACACGACAGATTGAAAGTGGCATTAATAACCCAATTTAATATAATTTATGTTAAAAACGAATCAATATAAGTTAATAATGATCACACACACACACACACACACACACACGCTTTATAGTTTTAAAAAGAATATTACTTGTGGAAATAATATACTTTTTTAAAAAAAGGCTTAAGTGAAAATTAAATGTAATGTTGGACCTTTAATTGCATGTTAATAAATACATTTGTCACATAATGAAGACTAAAATATGAACCTGACAGTTTGCAAGTGCCATTAATAACCCAATTTAATATAATTTATGTTAAAAACTAATCAAAATAAGGTAATAATGATCACACACACACACACACACACACTTTATAGTTTTACAAAAAATACTACTTGTGGAAATAACATACTTTAAAAAAAGGCTTAAGTGAAACTTGAATGTAATGTTTTTGGACCCTTAATTGCAAGTTAATAAATATATTTTAACGTCATTTCTATTGAAACTTGTATGACATCTGTAATGATGACATTTTAAAACACTACGGTTAAATTATAATCAAGTACTTTACATGTACTTCAGTATGTTAATCAACACATTAAAATAACAGTACAAACATGACAAAAAAAATTAAAACACATTGGTAAAACTTTTAATATGACATTATTACACAAGTGCACTTTGTTAAAGTGTACTCAAGTTTGGTAAACAGTTATAAACACCTCACCAGTTCTTTTCATAGCTTGCATGTGTAATGTTAGTTTCATTCTGTGGCCTGCTATCCAGAAACAAGTAAGGTAACTGTGTGTCACCAGAAGATTATACAGGGGATTAAGTTATTAGATGCGCACGCAAACACACACACACACACACACACACACACACACACACACACACACACACACACACACACACACACACACACACACACACACACACACACACACACACACACACACACACACACACACACACACACACACACACACACACACTGCTCTCTGGATTACACCCGCTGTCACATTAACTCCCAATGACACATTTGAGAGAGAACACTGCAAAAGATTTCACACATTTGTTACTCTTAATGCATGAAACTAATAATGTGTGTAGAATAAAATGAATGATCTTAATCTAAAACCATTAAATCCACAACATAGATTCACCTTCCTGCAGAACATATCAGTGCTGAGACATGGATGTTAGTTTATTTCAATCCAAGGCTCAAGGTTTGCTTTGCGCTATTGGATATTTTATAAATAACACAGGTTTGAAGTCACATTCTCATAATAGTTATATTTAGGTTTCATGTTTCAGGAGAAGCTAACCACATGTAATTGCTCAGCATCTCTCTGTTAGCGACTAGTGGAAAGGTCCATTAACTCAAATGGAAATCAATGGCTCACTACTCAACAGTGCTCCATTTCACTAGCAAAAGCACAGCACACACAATATCACATTGTACTACATGACACTAATTATCTGTTAAGGATTAAACAAATGAGGAAAATACATTTCTTTCATGTCAACTCTCGGAGAGATTGACACGGTTATGGATGTGGCAAAGTTAATGTATTTTGTATGTAACATACATGATTAAGCCCGTAGTAGATCTATACAGGTGGAGCTGGGGAAGGTGGAGGGTTTCTGAAGCAAGCAACAATGCCAAGTATCTGAATGTTGAGCGGCGAGCCTCAGCAACCAATCAGCTGCACTATAGATAACGATGTCATCGCTTGCTAACAAATTGAGGACCAACCAGCCTGTGCCATCACCATTTCATGACAGAACTTTGTATTTCTGTTAAAGTAATTGCAAGCTACAGTTAAAATGATTAAAGACCTTATTAGGTGTAGAAATGTGACAAACAAGTAAAATACTAAATCAGCAATATACTATTGATTTGGTTTAATTATATGCCATCATCACCAGAGGCAAACAGAGAATGTAGATACAAATACCGGTAGTATAAGAAATTACTTCTTTTTAAAAGTTTTATTTATTTATTTAAATGTGCCTTGGTAGTAGCATGGTATTTTTGATGTACTACCATGTAAAAATCAACATCATTTATGACAATAATTCAGTACATGGTACCGTGGCATCACTAACATAACATCCCTGTACCATCATCACCAGTACTTTTTGTAAACGGAATTGGAGTTGTCAAAGCGCTCTCAACTCCGAAACGCTGATAGATTGCAAAGTTGAGGACTTACTTAATGAATGTAGCGTCCAGCATTAATGACGCGCTGCTCCGTGAGTCGCGTCGACGCTGACAACTACGAGAGTTTATTATAGAGGACCATTAATCTCCCAACCTATGCCCTAAATAAACTATGTAGACATGTAAAATTAGTTATATTATAATAACGAAGCACTTCACAAAGTTTTGAGTATGTATTTCAAAACATGTTCGCTTACCAAAAGTGTGTGGAATGCAGACGCACGTCAGATGAGACGGAGGTCTGGTCACTCTTCCATCAAGGGATCGCGCATTAGGGCGGGATTATCATGTTGATTGACAGTTCTGTGCACCAATTGCATTTCACGATCGGGAAGCTTCTTTTGAGATTACAACTGTGAGGACCAATCAAGCAGTCGCGTGTGGATGAAGAGAAGCGCAGGGCTGTAATGGGACGGTTTCAGGATAGGAATTAGGAAAGGTGAGCTATAAAAATGTAAGCGTAATTCTTTCTTTAGATTTAGTTCAAAGCTGTATCAAATGGTAGGCTAAATAATTGTTTTTTTTTTGTGTGCGTGTGTGAATTATATCCTCCACACTCGCAGAGATGCCACTGAAGAACCAAAAATCTAGAGAAAAACTGTTAAAAATAAAATAAAATAAAAAATAATGATAATAATAATTAGATTAAAATAAATTAGTAAAGCAATAAATTAGACCTAAATAAATAAATACATTTTGTGATTAAAATAAAATAAATAATAAATAAATAATGTGATTAGTTATTAATCTATTAAATAGATTAAATTAGATAAAATAAAAAAATTATTAATATAAATAAGTAAAAATTAGTTTAATATTAGATTAATATTAAATAAATATATATATATATAAAAAATAATACATATACAAAATATATGATAATGTAACTGAAACTAATTTAAGATTTATAATATTAATTTTTAATATAAATTGAGGGTTTATAAAAGCCAGATGCCTTATAAATTTTACGATGGGGGCCCCTCACAGGGATAATCATATTTGGGGGTCCGTGGCTTCTAAAAGGCCGAAAACTATAACATGTTTTCACTATAAAGAATCTTTTGTGCATTGAGAAGGTTCCATAGATGTTAAAGGTTCTTTATGGAAGCATTAAAGGGATAGCAATATGGCTGCCGTCGCATCATCCAAGTGGATGCTGCACATTGGTGGTGGTTGAGGAGATCCCCCCCTCTATGTAAAGCGCTTTGAGTGCCTAGAAAAGCGCTATATAAATGTAATGAATTATTATTATTATAGTTCACACAAAAATGAATTTTCTGTCTTACTCGCCCTCATGTCATTCCAAAACCCGTAAGACTTTTGTTCCTCTTCAGAACACAAATGAAGATCTTTTTAATGAAATCTGAGAGATTGACAGCTACGCAACTATCACTTTCAAGCTCCAGAAAGGTAGTAAAGACATCATTAAAGTATTCCATGCGACTCCAGTGGTTTAATCTCAATTTTATGAAGCGATGTGAGTGCTTTGTTTGCACACACACACACAAAAAAACATAACTTACCACTTTATTTACAAAATATGAATCTCCAACACGCATCCACAAGAGCACTGATGCATGCATAGACGTTGTTGCATGAACGCGTCAATTATATAAACTTTTGTAAACCCTAATCACAATGAAAGCATTCAAAATGCAATATTTAACATATATGTAACATCTGCATATAATGTCCAATGTGTAAACAATATGATTTACACACCAAATTCAGCATAAACGGCACAACCTGCATATTTTTTAAATGCTCGAGACACGAGCTGAACACCTGAACCGCACAGCGATTGGCTGCCGGCCGCGTTTATCGCTTGATATTTCCATAAAATGTTTTCACGCTCTCAACTCTTTCTCTCTGGTCTGCTGTCAATCCCACAATGCACTGCGCGAGCATGAAGCTCATCTTCCGTAGAAATGAACTGAAAACGCTCGCTTCGTGCCAGTGGACACGCACCGTTACGGGTTTAGAACGACATGACGGAGAGTAATTAAAGGGATAGTTCACCCAAAAATTAAAATTCTGTCAGTAATTACTCACCCTCATGTTGTTCCAACCCCGCTAGACTTTTGTTCATCTTCAGAACACAAATTAACGCAGTCACACGCAGGCTCACTATTGGCCGACGCTGGTCATGTGTGTGATGCGTGACGTACAACCAAGCTTTGCGCTGTTTCACTACGTGAAATCTCACGGGCGTACAGAGAAGGAAATGAATAGTTGAATAAAGTCGTTATTTTTGTTTGTTTTTTTGCGCACAAAAAGTATTCTCGTCGCTTGATAAACTTAAGGTTGAGCCACTGTAGTCACTCGGACTATTTTAACGATGTCTTTCATTACTTTTGGGCCGGCCAGTTTCGATCCCTTAAGAAGCCTATGGAGGAGTGATCCAGCTCTCAGATTTAATCAAAAATACCTTAATTCGTGTTCTGAAGATGAAGGAAAGTCTTACGGGGTTGGAACAACATGAGGGAGAGTAATTACTGAAAGAATTTTCATTTTTGGGTGAACTAACCCTTTAATGATAAAAATTTTCCATTTTTTGGGTGAACTATCCCTTTAAATGTCAATAAAGAACCTTTATTTTTAAGAGGGCAATCTCAAATCCCAATATCATCATATTTTTGTATAGCTCTTGAGTAAACACGTTAACAGACTGTGCTGCAGGTTGTCTCATTTGTTTTGAGTGCTGTGATTGTATGCAGTATTAATCATAATGTCTTTAGGCCAAAACAATAGGCTAATTATCTTACCGTTTTGCTGTTGGACATCTTCCCACAAAAGGTCATTGTGGGTTACATGAATGTATTCCTAGGGAATAGGCTAACTTCGTAAATGTTTAAATAGCTTATTTGTAGGCATGGCTTTAATGTATATGTTTTTAAGGCTAAAATAATCCTACCCTGAAAAATATCGCATGGGCAAAAAGTGTAACAACTATTCAGCTCTTGACTTGACAGATAGTATTAGTTTAATTGTCTTAGAGCTGCTTTATAATCACTATGATTGCTGTTGTCATTTTGCCCATTGTATTATTTATGTGGGTCCTTCGATTCGCTCACTATTGTTTTACACGCGGATCCATCATCTGCCATTGGCCTGCGGTAATCACACAGAAGTCCAGATCAATATGTCAATGTCATTCAAATGTAGGGCAAAACTAAATGTTAACATGTTAACAACAGGCTGTTGACCTTTCAGAAGGAAATATCTGTTAATATTCATATACAAATGTATACTAATGCTGCCACATGCATTAATATTTATGATGAAACCAGACCAGTGCATTGACGTTAATAAAAGGTGCCCTTGCTTTTTAACGATGTTCTGCTAATTTGCACCCAATTCTAATTTTAGGAACTGAAAACCTGGGAATATCTGGTTGAAATATGGTGTAACACAATGGTCTTCAGCTGGATTACATAAATTCTTAAATACAAAATGATATAAACAATGTTATATTGTGATTTAAATTACTACTCTGTCTATCTATACAGTGGCCCGAAAAAGTATGGGGGCTTGAATATGAATATCTTTGCATTAGATGTATATAATAACAAAATATCAGTGGCATTTATTTTTTTAAATAAATATAGCAAGACACTTTTCAAGCAAATTTAAACGCTTTCTGGTTATTACATTTTGTGGAAAAAAATGACTGTGATGAACTGCAGTTACTCTCAAAGGACTTCTATGTGAACTTGAGAAGCGACTTCATCCACTTAAAATCACGGAGGTACCAGTTGATTAAAAGTCATTGCAAAAATGTCAAATAAGCTGTTGGTGTGGCTTGATAAAGGCTTTATTTGGGGCAGCGGTGACATCTGGAGAAGGACAAGGAACAAGTTGGCTTGACTCCAGGCACAAACCACTTTTAAATGAAGTATTGACCATTAAAAGACTGATGGAGCCATATTGACATGTAGTGAAAGTATACAAGCTTTATATGCAGTGTATTAATGAATCATTAGTTTGTTAACAATTGAAAACCTTTTTGTCAGATAAACCTTAACGACCTTAAAATGTTGTGAATAATTACAAATAATATAATACTTTTTTATAAACCTGTTCTAATTGTAATGCTTTTGTATACATAGGCCTGCTTTTTTTCTGCAATCCTACAAGACTGCTCTATAGTACGGGTTGAATTTTGCGAACTTTCTTGTATTTCAACAGGCAAAAGGCAAAAATCTAAACAAAACCAGAAATCATTTACATTAAAGAATCTATTCGCATTTGCCGCAGGAAATAATTTAACATTAAATATCAAAAAAAGATGTGTAGGCTACAATTTATTTACAATTCTTTTTATCACTCCATAAATCAGAAGGAAAAGTTTCAACAGCCATAAAAAATAAGATCCCATGTTTTAGGAATAAAATGTCAATTACCCCTGAGTAAAAACTCGCAGAATATAGAAAAATGTGAAGTTTGAAAAAATTAAAAAACTAATTTTGAGAAAACAGTATTTATGTATTGTAACTGAAATCTACAGACAGAATTAGATAAAGTGTAAAAAATTCAAACACTTAAATGTGTATTGAAAATTAGCTTAGCATCTTATAATTGACCAGTGCATGAAAAAAACAATGGGTTTTTTCTATAGTGGTCAAGACATGAGAAATCAAATTTACCCTTTAAAGTTGTCTAAGTTTCATGGCTTAAAATATCTTCCTCAAAACAATTTTTTTTTTTTTTTTTATCAAGCTTCAAAAACATTGTGTGTGGATATGACTGCTTATAAAGCCGGGTGAACCCTGTACAATTTATAATAGTCCTTTGCGAATGTTGCTTGTCACACTGTACTATCTCTAGCATTAATTTTGATCATGGCTTTCCAAAAAAAAAAAAAAACGATGGAAAGAAATGGCAAAAACGACGAGGTGTTTGTGGAGGAAGTGGTGGGTCTCCGAAATGGCATACTCTCTTGAGTAGGTACTTATTCTGAATAAGTCATTACTTCACAACCAGTAAAAAGTATGTTCTACCGTAAAACTTCAAATAGTAGCCCGGGCTTTTATTTTCCCAAATCGTCGAACTGCACCGGCTTGTATTTGAGACAGGCGTCTACATGAGACAGGCCTTTATAATTTAGTGTTGAGATGTTGTTCATTGAGTGTATAAAGGCCTGTCTGTCTCTACTCTCTAAAAAATCTCCAAATGCTCCACGTGAAACTGCGGTCTAGCAAGACAGCGCTCGTGTTGTTTGAAGACGTGAGAGTGCGCGCGCGGTCTCTCTCTCTCGCGCGCTCTCTCTCTCTCATCGATCAAAAAAGGCTTTGGAGGGACAACAATTTGCTAAAAAGACCCGGCCTCTATTTGAGAGCGGCCTTTATTTACCCAAACCTGCAGCCACACCGGGCGTGTATTTGGGACTCGGCTTGAGTGGGCTATTATTTGAAGTTTTACGGTATATAGTATGAATGTAATCCAGATGTACTACATTCGCCATACTGTTATTATCATGTGACCTCCCAGCGTCAGTTGCGTCGCCTCACTGCCATTCATAAATCCTCTCCCGTGGCATCATGGGATAGTAATGTGTCCATCGGATGCACACTTCAGAATCTCACCAGAAGTAGTACTTTTTGCCCACTCTTTTATGAGTACTGTGAATTCAGACATACTTGCTTTGTCACATACTGTTTTCGCATACTATATAGTACGGAAGTGTGAGATTTGGGATGCAGCCGTGGTTTATTGATGTCACACTAATCGTGTCATCGGGTTCTGCGCTACTATTGGTTTCCGATTTGATGGTTGTTGTAGGAGGTCACACTGATCAAAATTCTGGCACAGTGGTCATTAAAGGGATGTGCGTTACAAGAGGTAAAAACGATATAAATACTGTTCGTTTTCTCACACAAACCGCTCGTTTCGTGTCTTAGGCCATCAGTGTGTACTTACATTTACGAGTCATTAAATCATGTTTAATTTGGACTTCTCTGTGCATGCTCTTTGAGGTGGTGACCATAGACCTGCATTATATGACTGACAGACAAGAACGGTTTGACCTAAAAATATCAAAATTGAAACTTCTGCGGAAACAAAGACACCTACATCTTAGATGCCCTTGAGGTAAGCTAAAACATACCAAAAATTAATTTCAAAGTGAACTATCCCTTTAATCGGCTGTCGGAGAACCCGTCAAACTAACGCTCAAAGACTTCAGATTATGGCCCAGGATCAGAGGAATCACAAAATTGTATAGCACACGGCCAAAATCGTACAGTGTGAACCTGGCGAATAGTTTTACATCATCACACTATAGGCCCCGCCCACCGGCGTTCAGTCGCTTACCTACCGGCTTTAAACTATACAGAATCAAGACTTTTAATGGCATGAAACGGCATTTGTTTAATCTTTCAATGAGGGTTCATAATATAAGATTTGACTCAGGAAATAGTAAAATTGTTTTTATGGCACAGAATTAAACAATGTTACAGTCCTAAATAAATCTTCTGTAAAGTCAATTAGAATGCAGCACTACACAGACACGAACCAAAATTATATATGGAGTAGAAATAATAATAAAAGCTACTGCTCCGGCAAACTACAGGTGCAAAACCCTATGATTCTTTATAGTGTTCTTTCTTCTTTGCTTTATATTTTTTGAAAGGAGACACAAATATATCTGAATGCCTGATGTCAAAGAACTGAAACTAAAATCACAATGATAAAACTCGGGAAAGAAAAACAGACATGTGACTGATTAGTGGTTTAGAGGAAGAGATGGATGGCGTTACATTTACAAATGAAAATTTGAAGTAGGCACATGTTTATTTAGTATAGACAACACAACTTCTTATTCATTTGAGATGAAAGATGTGATCTAAGAGGAAAAGGTAATAAACATTGCCATTATGTCTATACACTGTCAGCCATGATCAAAGTAAATTTAAACCTGAAACAGCAGCTAGCATTTAAATGGTAAATGTCTATATTAAACAAAGAATAGTCCATTTAGCTTGCATCAATAACGATAATAAAACTCTTTCAACTGCAATCTTTCTATATGAGAGAGAATAATGCCTTTACATTATGTAGAGAGAGAGATCTGCAAGGAACTGCTTCAGAAAGTCAGTTTATGTATTGAAAATAACAAAAAAAATAACCGATTATAAAGGATGTTGTTGTAATAACACATTCTAAATTATTAGTCAAAAAGTGAATCCTGTGAGAATGGTATGATTTCAGGTTGATCAATGCAGGTGTTTACTAAAAATAACATAAAAGGATTTACTTATCAAAGACGCTAATTCAGAAGTCTGCAATCATTTCTGTGCGACCTCTGTAGGTATAAATAAATGATTAGTATTCATTTACAAACTGGCAACCTGTCCGTATTGCACATAAATGGTGACCAGAATCACCAACTTACAGGAATAGTTTCCCCAAACTTTTATTTACTAAATCGTCAAGGTTGAGGTTTTTTCTTCAGCGAAACAGAGAAACTTAACAGAATAAGGAGGATGCTCTTTTTCATAAGCTATGAAAAGACAATAAATCGCAATTAAAAACCATAATAATAACCCATATGACTTATGCGCTATATTCTATATCTTGTGAAGCCATGCGACAGCATTGTACGTGGAACACAGCAGAATTCACCCAAAAATGTTAATTCTGTCATTAATTACTCATAAACCTGTAAGACTTTTGTTCATCTTTGAAACACAAATGAAGAGTTTTAATGAAACCTGAAAGATTTCCGTCCCTCCACTTCAAAAAGTTCATAAAGAGATTGTTTAATGAGAATGATTTTTGCATATGGATTGCTTTTACATTGATCAACACACATACATGCACATCAAATATGGCAAACAAAACTCAACATGATGCTCGCGTTTTAATCAAGTATGTTTTTGTTCACCATATTTGATGTGCTCTATGTATGTGCATTAATACAACATTTATATCTGAATAAAAGCCTAGACTTGGATTTGGATTAAACCACTCGATTCATATGGATTATGTTCACAATATCTTTTTGTTGCAATGCATGAAAGTTTTGGTTGTGTGGACTTTCACTAGAAGAATGAGAGAATACTAAAAAGATCTTAATTTGTGTTAAGTCTTATTGGTTTGGAACGACATGAGGGCGAGTCATTGATGACAGAGTTTTAATTTTTGGATGAACTAGTCCTTATATCATCAATGACTGAAAATCTGCCCCTGCACCACAGCTTAGGAAATCTTAGACTTACTCATATTCAGGCTTCAAACATGTCTAGGTTTGACCCTTTTTTTTTTCTTTTTTTTCTCTTGTAGAACAGTGTTTTGCATGTTCCCCTAATCAGCTCATTAGTAGAGACTCCAAAAACCTGAAATAGGTGCCAATAAAATAAAAAGGGTGCAGTGTTGTCATACGTGTTCCACAGAAGGAAGAAATGAATATGGGTTTGGAATGACATGAAGGTGAGTAAAAGATGCGTTTCTATTTATCTAAGGATGGTTTCATTAACCTCAAATAGTTTTTACATGACCTTTAACTGTGATTTGGACATTTTAGGACAACACATGATTTTGTGAACCACGCCAATCTGTATTTTTGTCAGGAACTGTAAAACGTTGCACATATGCCGTTTAGTGTTGGATGCACTAGCTAGAACTAAAAGTGGGATGGACGTGTAATCTCAGTGAGACTGGACAAAATGCATCTCAAAATAAGGGGTGTAAAAATCCACCTCTGCCATATACATCAGAGAAAACAGATCCCTATAACAACCAAAGTGACCGAGATAAAGGGGTAGTTTTTAATCAGACTCGTAATGCGCCGCGTCCGATGAGCTCTGTGGTGTCGCTATCCGAGGGGTGACCCTCCTCATCATCAGTACCTTCATCCGAGTCCTCTACGGGTGTGCAGTACTCGTCGTGCTGCGGTGTGTGTGGCAAGCACTGAGCGGAGGTTGTGACCGTAGCCACGGCTTCGCTGGACGTCACTGTGGAGGAGTAGTTGGGAGGCGGGCTGGAGGAGGCAGGGGACGCGGGGTTGGACGAGCGGAGGAGAGGGGTGCGTTCAGAATCAGCCTCACTGATCGCTCCGTCCTCTTCCCCGCCAGCCTCGCGCGGCCCCGCCTCTTCCTCCGAATCTGAAGACTCAGAGGTTTCTGGGTTGGGACGGGTCACGCGCTGCTTGCACACTGGGCAGGTTTTCTTGGTTAGGGTGAGCCAGGGGTCCACACACTTGCAGTGGTAAGCTGAATGATGGAAGCAAAAATCATCATGTTATGGTATTCTGAACAGGGACAAAAATGAACTCTATAAAAAAATATGCATGTCGTTTCGCTGTTTTCTGCATATGTGTGGAAAACAATGAATATCATTTCCTCCCTTGGCTGTACCAAATTCAAGCCAGACGCCCAGCCACTCGGGGTGGCCGACATAACCAAAATCTTATATCACGATAATGATATATGTATATATTAGTGCTGTCAAACGATTCAAATATTTAATCGTGATTAATCGCATTAATGTCATAGTTAACTCATGATTTTATCTATTCTAAATGTCTCTTTATTTCTTTTTGTCCCATTCTTTTTTCTCATTTTAATGCTCTTATCAACATGGAAAAGTGGATCGGCTTGCTTTGTGCAAATGTTTTTTATTGAAAACACCATTGGCATATACAGTGTTTAATTTCACACTAACATTCTCACTTTGAGCAAATAATCTCTCACACAATGTAACACTGTCCATTAATAAAAGGGTGAAAGAAATACTGACTAGGTCCTGATATTGACGAGGGGGCGGAGGATTCGCATCAGCTGTGTGTGTGTGTGTGTGTGTGTGTGTGTGTGCGTGTGTGCTTGGCCATCATCAAGTGGTATTTCAGACTGGACGTGCTGCGATGATGATAGCTCAGTTCACAACGACAAAACACACAGATCACTTTGGTCTCGTCAATGGAACCATTTGGCAACTTTCCAAAAGTAAACTTTCCATTCAGAATCTTATTGGCATCCATTTCGGCGTCTCGCGCTCGTCATCCACTCAAAACGTAACGTTAACCTACTATTTGGCCGGCTCGCAAGCCCAAACAAGTGTGTGCGGCGTGCCTGTTGTTTTGTTTCCGGTCTAGCTAGATCCGCTTGCAACAAAACGTCGTCGCGCGGCGCAAGCCATTGAAATGAATGGGTTTCATAGCGCAGCGCCACGCATGCCACGTCCTGTTGCAAAAGCATGTGAAAAAAACTAGTTTGCTAGGCCAAAAAGACCGTTAATCGCGCGATAAAAAATTAACGCCGTTAAAATGGGTTTGCGTTACCGCCGTTAATAACGCGTTTAACTGACAGCCCTAATATATATATTAGGGCTGTCAAATGATTAATCACGATTAATCACATCCAAAATAAAAGTTTTTTTTACATAATATATGTGGGTGCACTGTGTATAATTATTTTGTATATATATATAAATACACACACATGCATGTATATTTAAGAAAAAAATATTATTTATATATAAAATATTTATATTTATATATAATATAAATTATATATAAAACTATATACAGTATATACATGAAAATATTACAAAATATATACAAGCATGTGTGTGTATTTATATATATAAAATAATTATACACAGTGCACCCACATATATTATGTAAAAAAAACTTTTATTTTGGATGTGATTAATCGTGATTAATCATTTGACAGCCCTAATATATATATATATATATATATATATATATATATATATATATATATATATATATATATATATATATATATATATATATATATAAAACGATATAGTTATTTTTCCTTTAAATAAGGTTTTTATGATATACTATATTTTTTATAATACTAGTAAAAAAAAAAAAAAACCTGACCTGAAACATTTAATTACTTCTATATACTTTAGATATGCTTATTAGAGAGAAAGGATAAAGACAACACACTAAAACACACACACATTGCTCACACAGATGATGGAGCAGCTCACTTACCATGTGAACACGGCAGCACTCTCAGCTTATCTCCCTCTTCATATTCATCTAGGCAAATCGCGCACACATCATACTCGTCACCTGAGAAAAATATGGCATTATTGAAGTGTTAGATGTTCCGGTAGAACAATCATGCTTGCTATCAGAACCCATCAGTGATCAGTGAGTTTTCTTTGTTCGAGTATGTGGTGCAAACTCCTACATATGAGATGTGCTGACATCCAGTGCTGTTTATTATCATCTTTAGAGCAGCCAAACATGATTTTATGAAAAAAAGCTGAACCTCTATTATTTGCAACTAGCAGTTGTAATGCATTTCTTTAGCTATGCTATGGATTTTTTCTTAGACTCCAACAACTCATGATTGGTTTGCAAGCCTGACCATATTCGTCAGTAAAAAGTGTGCATTACAGTAAAGGTGTTTTTGTTGGAGGCAGAGCTTATATTGCATTGAAACCTTAGATTATTAACAAACTCTCTTTTGCTCACCTTTAACAAACTTGTGAGTGGGGATTTTCTTCAGCTGTTCTTTGGAGAGTCTGTTTTTCCGAAGTCTCTTCCTGTGCTGCACGCACCGCACAACCTGGACCAGTTAGAGGGAAAAACATGTATCAACACCCACCAATGAACGTATCATCGGCTCTTTTACAAATCCAACATAGATGCCAACCTAGACAACATTTTTTGCCATCATGAAGGCACTCCGGATGTGAAACTATTCCAAACAGTAGAAAGAAAAACTATGCTCTACACTTTTTTTCATACTTTCTAAAGCCTAAAAGCTGCAATCTCCATTCACTGTAATGGAAACTGAAAACATCTGGTACACTAGTAAATCTTCTCTTTTTGTGTTCCATTAGAAAAAATAAATAAATGTGGGTTTAGGTGAGTTGACCATGTTCATTCGATGTGACTTTCCTAATATAAAAATACTAGTGTAAGAATATACACAGAATACCATATTATCACTAGAATATATGTGGATTATGTTCTAGACACCTGTAATCCCATGCATGATTCTTGTACACATTTATAAAGAAGTCAAGGCAGCACTGACCAGTATGACGACCATGACAATGATGATCATGCCGACGACTCCAGTGAAGGGGATGAGATAGTAGGACAGAGGAAAGGAGAACTCGGGCTTCAGAATCACAAAGGCCCTGCAGCAAAGTGAGTCAGCAACAAAAGTTACACACACGATAACATACATGAACCCATGAACCTATGCCCCTGAGGCTGGCAAGCTGAATAAAGTCATTCAAAATGAGTGTGTATATACCACTTTTTTCCTTCTTAATAAGTGAATGACTTGGAGAATATAGTTAAAGAAAAGCAAACAAGTCATTTTCACTGGAACTTCTCTCATACTGTAAAGTAAACTACCCAAAGAGTTTGAAAGTGTTAATATATACAATTTTTATTTATTTATTTGTTGACGGTCGCTACATAATCGGGCTGAACAGTGCAGGCATTTCACTCGCATTTGCAACTAAAAATAGATGTGTGCGCGAACTATAAAATCTATTTAGGAGAACATAAAAATCAGGTTCCTGCGGGTCTTTAAGAATTCAGTTTTAAGTATCTTATATGGTGTAACAAAAGTCTTAATTATCATTTGAAGAGGTCATTTTGGGGCTGGAAAACAGGAATTGCGAAACACTTTAATGTGATTATTAATTATTTCAAAAGGCGATGATTACATAAAAAAAAAAGTGAGATCTGCACTTTCAAAGTAAAAATGTTGCTGTTCTACAGGTTTGAGGTTTTAGAGCAGTTTGCAATCAATGAATACTGTGCATTTAAGTCAAGAGATTGCTTATGATCTACTGTTGATGAATTATCCATTCATATTATGTATTCATAATGAATGGAATTGTGAATTATGTATTTTATATATATTACAATGTTTACTTTATGGTGTTTGTTTTGTAATGTTTTAGATAGTTGTAAGAGCGCATATTTTATTTCACTCATATGTTTGAATGATGATGGAAGTAATAAAGACATTTCAAAATAAGAGTCCCAGAGTATTTTGGACTTGTTTATAATAAAAGTCCCACATTATGCAGAATTTTTTTTTTTCTGGTTATTATTGGTATTTCGGTAACAAAATAAACTCTATCTGGCATTTAACTCAATGTTTAGAGTATACAGAATTCCATAATTATTAAATACAGTTTGAAGCAAAAATATATATTTTGTATTCAAATAAATGTAACCATTTTGTAAAGTTCCCCTTGTATCCCTACATTAAGGAAAAACAAATGATTTGATATATTTTCATTGTGCCTCAAGTTTTTTATGTGCTCCTAAATTTTTCAAATTCAAATTCAAACTTGCTCAATGGGGAAAAAAAAGTAAGTGCCCCTGCACATGTCCATTTTTGTTATTTCATAGCTTTGGTCACTAAATATTAAACAAAATACAAGAATAATAATAAATTATTCTTCCATCTCAGATAGGGGTGGACCAGTACTACTTTATTTGATTTTTTATTCTAAACTGTTTTAATTATTCTTATTTGTTTTGATTATTTTAATTTCTTCTATGTAAAGCACTTTGAATTGCCATTGTGTATGAAATGTGCTATATAAATAAACTTGCCTTGCCTAAATATAAAGGAGTAGGTGTGTCCAAATGACTGGTTGTATTTATGCATCTGTATTAAATTTGTGTGTAAGAATGTGTGTAGGCTGTTTTATTCTCACCCTTTCTCTGGTATGATAAAGCTGCGCAGTATTTGAGAGGCATAGTAGCTTGTAAACACAGAGGGAATCTCGATCCCATCCGCGATGGTGTCTAAAAAGAAACAAAACAGATTCTGAGGATGATAAAGTATGTGTCTCGCAACAAATGTCTCAAACCATTTTGAATAGGACTGTATCAAAATAAAGTATTAGCAGATATTAAGCAGACAGTCTACTAATACTCTGCTAGTTGACATGTAGTTGCAAAGTTACTTATAGTTTGTAAAATGTCTCAAGTGGACAATCGAAATGAAATTTTACGAAGATGTCTAATCTGATTTTCAGCTATCTCTTATTAGAGTGTAGTATTCTCAATAACATTTCACCCACACTTTATTTCCCATAATTGTTCAATACAAGCAGTGCATGTGTGCATGTGTGTGTCAATCTCACCATTGCTGGATCCCATACTGAGAAGTGAATTAGAGAACATGTTGTGAACTATGGCTGCACTGTAACCGGCCTGCTGTGCATGGAGCACCTATAAGACCCAAAAATCAAAACATAAATAATATTACTCACTTTTTCTGTTGTTCATTATCGACTAATCAAAGTGTGGATGCATGACATTTCTTTGGCCAAATCAGTCTGCGACATAATTAGCACTTATGTGCATATGTACATTTAAACAATATATTTTTTATTTATTAGAATAGCCTTGCTGTGCATTAACCTTGATATCAAAGTTACAGTCGTAGCGTCGAATAAGGACAATGTATTTTGTAGAGCTGTTTGTAGTGGGATCTGAGGGTGTGGGAGAAACTGGAGGAGGATCTATAGGTGTGCAAGCGTTCTGAGGACGAGCTTCAACCAGCACACCCTGGGGGAGACAGAGAGAGAGAGAGAGAAAAGTCAGTCACACTAATGCAGTAACATTAGTTAGTTACTGGGTACAACTACAAGTCCAGAAGCAGGGATTCATTACCATGAGTCCATCTTTTGGCAGGGGAGAGCCAAAGAGAGAAGGCAGATCTTCAAACAGCATGGAGGTCATGTTACTGTAATGCTGTATGGAATAAAATAGAGTCCATTAGCTAATGCAGTATAAAAACATTATAGAGCAATCAAACAACCCACATTAATAAATGAATATTGATTGTAAAAAGGTGAAGCGTGTAGATTTCATGCAACCAAATACTCAATAAATGTACTGTGCCATACAGTTTATAAAACCAATAAAAGCCTTAATAATTCTGAAACCAGACACTTACAGCATATATATATGCCTGACCAGGAGAGGGTGCCAGAGTGAAGCATAAGACCAGGAGCGAGACGCCCAGTCGAGTCCCCACACACACCATCCTGAATTAGGCCGAGCCCTGATGAGGGGCGATGAAGACCTGCATACAGATTCATGACGAGTTAACAAACTTCAACATCAATGACCAAATTGTTCAGTGAGCAATGTCTAAAGAAATTAGACAAAGAAAAGTATGAAACAGTTCAATCTGTTAAATACATATATCACTTTTTATATAGCTTTTACTTCTAAGAAAGCACATATCAACTCTATATCAAATAATAAAACATTTCTACCCTCAGGATGAAGTCATGACTATCAGCAGTTTTGTAAGTGCCTGATCTGTGCTAATAATAACATGAATGGAACTATGAATGATTTTATCTGTTTGATTAATATTACTGCTAATGAGCTTTTAAAGTCGCTGATGAAACTGAACTTTTCTTCTATTTTGTGATGTATATCCGAGCGTAACGGATTATTACTGATGAAAAGATGGAGTTTAGTGGACTAAATGACTAAAGTCCAGCATACGTCACCAGAGAGAAGGAGGAGTTGTGACATTTTGAGTATACATTATCATTTAAGAAAATAAATACGTTTTTTAAAATGAAAACATGCACAGATGAATTATTCACAATACGATATATAACATGCATTTGCAAATTAGATAGGGTGAATTTTCATTTCATGCCGACTTCAATGTTCTGACAAAAACAGTTTCTTACTTTTTAAACAGTTTCCTGTTTTTAAATAGTTTCCTATTCAAACCTTAGAGCTATTATTAAATTGCAAAGGCTGCGGTTTAACTAACTAAATAGGCCAGTGTTTGCAGCGTCTCGATTCGCAGTAAATGCTGCTCAACACAAACCCCATCTCTGCATCTGGGTCACTTTAACCTGCATTTAAGAACGCAACATGTACCAGCCATCTTCACATACTTGTAATGAGAAGTGATTATCAACAGAGAAGCTTTTAGGGCTTCCTGCAGTTCTCTGTCAAAAAAGTTTGAACATTTCGAGAATCTACTCAGCTTTCCAATAAATAAATAATCCTGCCTGTAAAACACACTGAGCACATTCAGCAATTTCAAGTGTTACTACACTGAGAGAAACCTGCTGTTTAAATGAGTCACGGGAAGTGAAACCAACTACAGGAAGAATAAGCATATTCTGGAAACTAGCCTATAAACTTAAGACTAATCTCTCTAGGCCTAGTTCAAATTACAACAACAGAGGTTTAATGCCAATGTAAAGATCTACTTTTAATGGGGTTAATTCATAAACATGTATTGGTGGAACCACATTGTAAGCATTCATTTCAATTCAATAAAAAACAATAGATAAGACATGTATGCAAGGTGTGCCTGAGTCACCCAACATGTTTAGTATCTGGTGGCTCAAATGAAGAGCAATCTTTCTAGATTTGCAAATGGTATATTTGTGTTGTTTTCTGATTAAACAAGAAACCAGGCATGCAATTTTTTCAGATGTGATTCTGCTTCACTCAGTCTGATTAATCGCCTAGCATTCAACCGTTTGGCGATTATTGTCACCAGCCAATTAGAAGTATAGGAATTTATTTTTCATTGAAGATTTAACATCAGTTTGCCATTTAATCATCAACATTATTCTACTTAAAATAATGTTAATCTCCTAATGCTTATTGCTTGCAATACCATGGCCTTATTTTTCTGTTAGTGTTGTTGACTGCTGACTTCAAGACTGACATGTGACTTGCTTTACACAATGTATTGTCAAGCCCTAGAAAATTATGGGGAATAGTAAAACAAAATAGCTGTTTGTCGCACAAGTCAGCACTCATAGATCATAAAACTAGTAATGTTTTAGCAGACTTTATCGCTAGTGAGCAACAGCACAGACTTTATAACCAACAATTACAACTTAATTACAACCCGTGAGTCATTTGACACACACAGACATCAAACAGAGACTAAAATAAAATCTCCATCTTCCCCTCTGGTAACTATGATAATGTACGAAATATAATAATTGCGTCATGAATCGACTTGGAGGAAGCTAACGTTACTTCCCGACTCCTTCGGTCTCATTGAATAAACTATTTCTGAAAAACCTAATTATATTTGGAAAGTACATAGGAGCGCTAACGTTACAGTGTCGTTTGTAATGTAACAATGGCAAGGTGTCAGTTAGTTTGTAATTGTTTACTCACTGTACAAGCGACTGCCAGCTAGCTGGTTAATCACTCGTATTCCTTAGCGGACAGCTAACGTTAGTCTTCCACTCGCGTCGTTGCTTTGATTCAGCTGTAATCGTTGTGACACGGCGCTTATTCCTCCAAAAGATCCTTCTCGAAGCTCATAGCTCATTGATTTGTGTCGGTTTCTCAGGATGCTTGGCTGATTCGATCCTTCTTGGGACTACGATCTCACGTTTGTTTACAATCCTGCAAGGCCAACAGGAAGTGTGAGAACTGCAAGTATCGCGATATCGATGACTGAGATTTCAAATGAGGGTGCGCGGATCCACCTGGGGATTCATGAAGGAAGTGCAGTGTGATGGAAGTTCTAGTGGCAAATTAATTTAAATCAAATATTTAAAAAAAATTAAATATGGCAAGGGTTTAAAATTGTAGTAAATATTATAAATAACTAGGAAAATTACACTTCATGGTTTATATGCACGTTTTTTTGAAGGGTAAATAAAGGGTAAACCATCAGTCAGTAAAGAGACGGGGAATACGATTTGCCTTTAGCACAACTGATTCTGAATCTTTATTTTGAAACGTTTTTATGACATTACAGTAGGCTTACATACAATTTAGCATCATATTTGATCCATCTAGTCATGGTCCATGACCCAGAATGATGATTAGCCAGTGTAAATGGACAAAATATGCTAGATACAGATGAGATACATATGCTTATTAGAGCTCAAAGCAAACAGACTGAATTCAACACCTGTATATAAAAGACACAATGTACACTTAAAACATATCCTTAACCAAATTTATTTAAAACAAACAGTTACAAGAAACAACTACTAGTTTAAGGACATGCTGTCTCATGACTTAAAATAAACACGATTAAAATATCCATGGAGTCAAAACTACCAGTTATGTCAAGGCAATAAATATGACTGTTTTAATCAATGGAAATGCAAATGAAAACTATAATAAAACCAAATGTGTTTTAACAGATAACTTAGATTAAATAGAGATCACCATGCCAAAATACACAGGGATTTGCTATATTAAACAACATGTTTCTGTTTATTCTAATAATGACCTTTAAAAACACATTATTTGGGACAGTAATATAGAGTTCAAAGCATTTTTGAACAGTGCGCTTATACTGTGGCAGTTCTGGACTGCCTTTATGTGCATAAATTCATCTTTACCGAACCCTTCTGTTTATGTAAAACATTGTCATATGAGTAAAATACTGTTCTATCACCCAGCTGATCATACACACACACACGCCTCTCACACACCGCTGCCGCTGCCAGCTCCTTCTTCCTCGCCTTTCTTCTGCCTTTTTTTGGCTCGGATCTCGTTCATGGCTTCCTCGATGGAGCGAGTGTCTCTCTTATTGGCCACAGGAACTGTAACAATGAGAGTAAACACTCATGGTAAAAAAAATCAAGGCAAAGGCATGTAGGACAGAAATCACCCTGGGCTATTTTACTTCCATAAAGGCAAAAGGTTTAAAGTCAGTATGAAACCAAAATTGATTTACTTCTTTTGATACAGGGAATGTGCTAATTATTGTATATGCCGTTTACGTCTGGTAAACGACCAGTGTTGTGATCTCATGGCAAGAGACCAGGCGAGTCGGTTACATGTTTCTGGTCACACTTTAGATTAGGGTCTCACTATTAACTATGACTTCTGCCTCAATAGACTCCTAATTACTGCTTATTATTAGTTAGTAAGGTAGTGGTTAAGTTTAGGTATTGGGTAGGATTAGGAATAAGGTCATGCATAAAAAGGCATTAATATGTGCTTTACAAGTACTAATAAACAGCCAGTATCCTTGTAATATGCATGCTAATACGCAGCTAGTTAATAGTGAGAACTGAAACTAAACAAACGTGTTACCCATGTTTCTACCTGGCAGTAACATGCATCTCCTGTGACCACTTGTGATTGAATCTGAAGGATATTTGAAGATTTTACGTCACTTGCTACACCACTGTGTTAAAAAGCTCTCCAGTTTCTATATTTAAAAGGGGCCATGACATGAGAAATCAAATTTGCATGGATTTTTTTACGCATAATGGTCTCATAGCTTAAAACATCCTCCTCATTACTGTAAAAACAAAGCATTTATTTAATCAAGCTCCAAAACCGGCTTGTTTTGATATCGTGTGACTGCTGACATCACACAGGCTAATACATCTGCATATGACCGCCTCCAGAGCAAGACATCAATGAAAAGTTATACATCATCACACCACAGGCCCCGCCCACTGGCATTCAGTCCCTTAACGGCTGAGACTTTATCTACTCTGGATGTGAGCGTTGCGTCAAAAGCAAATAAAACCCATTATAATGACTGACGCTGTCTACACTGGACTTCAGTTTCTGACGTATTCCACACACTTGAGTCTGTCGAGAACAGGACAAGTGAAAGACTGTTCACTTGTTTTGACACGTCCAGTTTAAACAGCTTATTTGCATCTCTGCGTGCCTCATATTACAGTACTGCTTTGGGCAGTCACAGAAACACAGTGTTGTATAAACAGTAGTTTCGGTGTTTGTGGGGAAAAATGTCAAATGGTGACGGAAAATGCATCAACTCACATGCACATGCACTTTTTGCACGATGCAACTTATAAAATAAATTTTTTTTTGCTAGACTTCTTCAGTCTGTGGCCAACAACCTTCTTGCTCGTTTTCAAGTATTCCCTTGGCTCTGCGCACCAGAAGCAAAACGATTGTCTATTTGGAGCGCAACATTGTTTCTAGTTTACCTTTATAGTACAAAAAGTCCATTCAGGAAAAACTTGATGGTATAGTCAGCAATATATAGAGGATGCACAATTCTAGAGTCTTTTTATAACAATATCCAATCAGTGGCACGGACACAGCAAAAATGCAAGAAGAAAGTTAACCCGGGGTTTAGGAGTGTACAGTCTGAAATAGCATCTTATGAATAACCAGGATTACTTGTTAACCCCGGGTAAAGCATGAGCAGTGTGAAACGTGAGACAAGATAACCCAGGATTATATTTACCCGGGGATAACTTATTCAAGTGTAAAATGCACTAAATGTGCAATACTTCACTCGTTAGTTATTTAAGGGACACAGAGCTGTGTGATACAGATTTAAAGTGTTTTACTAAGTTTTTAGATCCTTTAAATATACACACCACAGCCATATGCCTGGTTGGCTTCCAGCGTGTGTGCGGCGTCTTTAGCAGCAGACGTTCCTATCAGATGGCTGTATTTGTCTCTGTAGTTTGAGTTGGGCGACGCGGGCCTCTTCACACTGTGACTGGCTGCTTCCATCTCCAGTGCAGCCTTTTCCTGAAGAGAGTGCAGTAAAACATGTAAATATGTGTTCGAAGAACAAGACGACAATTAGACAGATACTTCCCAACAGAAATATTAATTCATAACAAAGCTCTATAAGATTATGAATGCTGCTTATTTGAGGTTTCAAAGCCTAACAGACTGCTGCTCTTGCACAGTATTCTGTATGGACGTCCTCTTACCTTTAGTCGACGCCTCTCCTCAGCTTTCTGCGGGTCCCACTCCTCACCTTTGCGATAAGCCTCCAGTTCTTCATCTGATGGTGCAAACTCCTTCAAAACCAAACACACATAATCAAACACACTAAGCATTAATACAGTGTTCGGTAATGAGTTGGAGTCCTGAGTTGTTTTTATTTTCTCACTACTGTCACACCTGAGGTAGTTTTTAGGGGTGTAATTATACCCTCATGTCACAATTCAAAACATATCACGATACTGAACTCACGATACGATATTATTGCGATACTCCAAGACATATGATTTGTTTAAATTTACTGTTGATTAAAATGCTAAATTTGGTATTCCATTGTGTGTGTAAATGAATAGGCTTGGATTTGGTGCTGGAAACCCAATGCACAGGACAATAGAGACACCAGAATAAAAATATTCATGATTCTGAAGCTGAAAATACATAATTATTTTAGACGAATATGCTTGATTCACTGACTAGATATATTTAAAATAATCTTGGTCACTTTTTACTGGTAACATCAGACATTTGGCATTATCAGGACCCACAAATATCCCCCCCATTGCATTATTATACATTATATATAGCAGTTTAATGTAGTACTGACACTTAAACTCGAAAAACTAGATTTTTTTTCTCACACAGTTTTATTTTGGGTGAACTGTACACAATAAATATTGTCACTAATACTATCCATGATACATATTTTGTATTGTGATATACAGTATTGTGACACGATATTGTTACACCCCTTACCACTGTCCCTTTTGGCTTAGTCAGTTGGGGTTTAAAAGACCGTTAATATTCAGAGGACAAAACTTGAACTAAATTGAGCTGGATGATGGCACTATTGTCTTCTGTAGAGCTGCTTTATAGCCTAATCATATTTGTTTCATAATTGACAAACTTTGCAAAATTAACACAATTACTGAAGTGAATTGAATCAACATTGAACTGACTTGAACTAGATCATGACACTATTTCCTTCTGTAAAGCTGCTTTACAGCTGAAATTTAAGTCATTACATAATTTATGTATTTTGCATAATGTACAGTTTTCCTGTTTATAGCTATGAAGCCGCTTTGAAAAAATCTGTATAGCATAGTGCGCTGCAGAAATAAATGAGAGAATTTGTTTTATTTTCCATTTGAATTTTTATTATTTTGTTTAGAATTTTTGCCACTTTTTAAATATCTATATAGTTTTTATTATTTTTTGTTTGAGTTATTTTTGCACATCAAGTTAAACAATGAAAATGAGAAATATTGAGCTGAAATATAAATGATATAAAAAACTTAAATTTATTTTATTTTTTCATTTCAGTTAACTATAATAACTCTGGTGCAAACAGAATAATTTTTTTTTCGATGTACAGTATACTAAACACAATAAAACATATTTACAAAGATCCTTGTCTCCAATACATACCTTTTTAAACAGCATGACGTATCTGCTCTCTTCATCCTCACCAAAGGAAAAGGACGACAGCCCTGCGACCTCGGCTACATCATGCCTGAGAGAAGTGGAGGCGTTAGCATGAACTGTACGGTACAACAATAAAAAAAACAAGCCATGGCTTATATAGTTGTTTCTTAATATTAAACTAGAATAGCAGAATGCATTTAAAATAAATCTATTTTGACATTGATTAATCACAGCTGGTAATGTTAGACTCTGAGAAGATCTTATGCCATTCTGACGGGCATCAAATTTAACCCTAATCTAGGAACTGAACTCGATAATCAAAAGTATCTGCAAACACGCTTCTATAAGCATGTAGTTTGCAGAAGACTTCATGTCTTAAGAAATTATAACAAAAATACAGAGTAAAGGACGATATCATTCTGTTTATTTTAAGCGCGAGCTGCAGACAATATTTTTCATTTTCATTTAGTTTAAAGTCAGCATGAAACAGAAGTTGTGATTGCTATGTGCATGGATAAATCATTTATAATAAATACTGCAATAATACATAAAGCATTAAGAATGACTAATTTAATTTTATGTACTAAAATAACTAAAATGAAAAATAATAATAACAGAAAACATATAAACAACAATAATAACAAAAACACACAAATTACTAAAATGTCAACTAAATTTAAAATGCACACTGAAAAATATTATAATAAAAGCCAATTCAAAATATTACTTAAAAACTATAATAGTATATCAATGATACTAAAATTACACTGTGTTGAACTCACAATATGCTTCTCTCGATCTTTCCCATCGGGTCATATTTCTTCTTCTGCAGTTTGCTGTCCTGAATGAAGTCTGACACCTCTTTCTCCATCTAAAGCAAAAATCACACTCATTTTCATGAACAAAAGCTTACGATGTCATAGGCTCCTGTTTATGTGAGACAAATAAAGCCAGTACCTTTCTCCTAAACTCAGTTTTTTTTCTCTTCTCATCCTCCTCGAGCTTCTTCAGTCTGGCTGCTTGTTCTGCACAATAAGAACAAAAATCATCAGAATATACACTAAACATTACAAAAATGATTTCAATTTATTCAACATTGTCAACATTGTTTATGAAATTGCTGTGGCTGTAATATTATTAAAGCTTAGCTATTATTGTTGAACTGCTATCTTGCAATAGATTATTCGTGTTTTTAAGACACGCTTTTAAGCAAATGTACGTTACGGCTGGGATATTTATAAAACAGTTTAATACCAACCACAAAAGGCATCAACAAACTAGATATGACGTCGAGAGGATTTTCAACGACAGATGACGTATGTACGTTCATGTATTATTTCTCAAGCGGTGATTGGTTATATTTATTGCAGAGTTAGTGTCGCAGAGGGCACTCGGATATTTGTTTATTTCCGCTTGCAAATCTACAAGCATTCTCAGTTTCATATTCTTAGCTACAAGGACGCGTATTTGTAGAATTAAAACGTTATACCTCTAGCTTTCCGTCGGCTTTCTTGGTTGTGAACGGTTGGAGGCTTTTCCATCGAGCTCAAGATCGAGCCCAGGAGGTCCGCCATCTTTGGACTGTCTAATTCTGACCGGAAACTCGCTGCATGCTGCATTCTTGAAATTGCATTCTGGGTAATGGGGTCCAACCAGCGGATTACACAATGACGTAATTAAATCCAAATAAATGGGCTGAATCTGAAGTAAAACACCCAGGCGTACGATTAATAGTCTTTGTATAGTTGAGCAAATGCTTGCTACATAGGTTTTATCATGTAAGAACTTTTACAAAAACTACAAAAATGCTTTTGATGTTATGCATATTATGTTTCTTGATGACTTCTTCACATTCAGAAACAGTATTTCGTTTATTCTGCTCATTTATTCACGTATTGACTCTTTACTATCAGTTTAGAATATGTATATTTTAAAAGGTTTTATTAATTACGTTTCTAAATGGAATATTTAGAAAAAATAATAATATTTGGTTAATTATCAATTTGTTCTTTTTAGGTGCATGTCATGTATAGAAATTAAGCAAGAATAAACTATTGTTCTAAACCCAGCAGTACAACAACAAAGTATATAAATATTTTTTTTTTTTTTTTTTCAAGTTTACTAATGAAGTATTACTTAAAACAGCGCTGTTTAATTTACTAGTTTTGTTAAATTGTATAATTTGTTGTTTCTGCAGAGTTGTTTCTGTTTAAAAACAAAAATGCAATTAATGCCTTACATACTAGGAAGAAAATATCAAGTGTTGAAAATTCTGAATTCTTTTTCATCCCGAAATTTTAGAACACAATAATTCCACTATTACTTTCGAACAGTTCCTCAGACTGGGAAAATGAATACCTCAAACTGTAATACAGCAGCTAGCTGGTGTGGTATTGGCCTTTACACACCTCATTATCTTTATTACACAGTAACAGCTTCCAGTTAATTGTGCTCAAAGCAAGCAAACATCACCAAATGATCAATGCAAAGCAGTCTTTATGGTAGAACATGCTGATGTGAGGCTAAGTTGTCACTGCATTGTGATCATTAGTGTTTTGCACACAATTGTGTGTATGCTGGTTAGATTCAAAGTAATTATGAGAAGAAAGAGAAAAGTCTTTTATGATTCACTCAGAATACAGGTTCGCATCTGTATTGACAAAGATTCCTCACAAGTTACAACTAAGCCTGTTGATAGGTCAGTACATTTGTTGACCTTCAAGGATGAAAAGTTTGTGTGGTGGAGGGGATTACATAAATATAATTTAAAACTAAAACAGGGGTCTTACTGGAGTGAGCGATACCTTCATTTAATTCAATCTATAATGTGGTCAGTCAGTCAGTCAGTCAGTCTATGCAATATAAGAGTCCAAATGGTCTTCACAGTTACCACCACAGCAAAGGGCCACAATCCAGTGCATACATTGGTTCTGTTACCAACCATCAAAACCCGAAACTATACTGGGAAACCAGATGTGGGAGAAAAACAATGTGGAAGTATGGCCTGTGCTGTCCCCTGATGACCCTATGGACATATCTAGGAGTCAAGGAAATAGATCTTGTAGAACTTGTTCATCTGCTCCAGGAAGATGAAGGTAAGAACTGTGTGCGGCCCAAGACGAGCGTAATAAGGAGTGAAACCCTTCCACAGACTGAAGAATCCTTCGTTTCTTATGACCTTCACCAATACCTCCTAAAAAAAAGAAAAAGAAAAAGTGAAAAAGAATGAGGGAAAGGCTGGAAGTGTCAGAGGACTATACCACTAACAGCAAAAATAATAATAAAGGATATTTAATTATTGCACAAGTGTATTTTCACTTTACTTAGTATTTTATCCAGTGTAACCATTACAGTGGTACTGAAAAAGTCATGCCATCCCGACGGACCTGCTGATTAAACGTTACTGTTGGTGCTCTAATACCTGCAACTCAGAGCAAATCAATTGTTTACCAAGTCTTTTGGTTTCCTCCAAGATAAGTTTTCATGGAAGCCTATTTCTGGTGGAAAAAAAATGAATTGTGAGATGTAAACTTAGAATTCTGGGGGGGGGGGGAATAGAATTGTGAGATGTAAACTGAGAATTCTGGGGGGGGGGGGATTAGAATTGTGAGATGTAAACTGAATTGAGGAAAAAATTAGAATTGTGAGAGGTAAACTGAGAATTCTGGGGGGGGGGGGGGATTAGAATTGTGAGATGTAAACTGAGAATTCTGGGGGGTGATTAGAATTGTGAGATGTAAACTGAGAATTCTGGGGGGGGATTAGAATTGTGAGATGTAAACTGAGAATTCTGGGGGGGGGGGGATTAGAATTGTGAGAGGTAAACTGAGAATTCTGGGGGGGGGGATTAGAATTGTGAGATGTAAACTGAGAATTCTGGGGGGGGATTAGAATTGTGAGATGTAAACTGAGAATTCTGGGGGGGGATTAGAATTGTGAGATGTAAACTGAGAATTCTGGGGGGGGGATTAGAATTGTGAGAGGTAAACTGAGAATTCTGGGGGGGGGATTAGAATTGTGAGATGTAAACTGAATTGAGTAAAAAATTAGAATTGTGAGATGTAAACTGAGAATTCTGGGGGGAAAAATTAGAATTGTGAGACGTAAATCAGTATTCTGAGGGAAAAAGTCAGAATTGTGAGATGTAAACTGAGAATTCTGGGGGGGGGGGGGATAGGGGTTAGAATTGTGAGATGTAAACTGAATTGAGGAAAAAATTAGAATTGTGAGATGTAAACTGAGAATTCTGGGGGGGGGGGTTAGAATTGTGAGATGTAAACTGAATTGAGGAAAAAATTAGAATTGTGAGATGTAAACTGAGAATTCTGGGGGGAAAATAGAATTGTGAGAGGTAAACTGAGAATTCTGGGGGGGATTAGAATTGTGAGATGTAAACTGAATTGAGGAAAAAATTAGAATTGTGAGATGTAAACTGAGAATTCTGGGGGGAAAAATTAGAATTGTGAGATGTAAACCTAGAATTATGAGAAAAAGTCAAAATTGCTCAGAGTTTCCAGCAGACATAAACTTATTAGAATTTACAAAACTTAGAACTTTATAGAACTTACTTAGAATAAAATTTAAAAAAGAAAAAAAAATCAGAATTGGTATATAAAAACATTTCAACTACCTATTTTTATTTTGTGTAAGCTTTCCCTGAAACTTGATCCATTTCTGATTTCTCCCTACACCACCGTGACTGAAAGGTCACATCTCTGGCTGGCTGAGATCAGTATCTTAAAACAGACAGAGCAACAGAGGAAAGCAGCAAGAGATTGACTATGAGTGAGTTAAGAACATACCAAACCATTCTTGTACTCCGGCTTCCCATCAATCATTCTCATGTTCTGGATTCTTTAGAAAAGAATGAGATATACGTTAGCATTGGATAATCAGCACAATATCCCAAACCTGCTGCACAGAAAACAACCAGAATCAGCAAAAATGAATGATTTGAATGAATGTTTTGAGTCTTCTGTTTTTAAGTCGGGTCTTATTTAATGAGTGACTCATTTGTTATGTGCAATCTTATCTTTTGGGTTGCGTCCAAGTTGTAAAAATGGAAATAATAATAATCGAAATGAGATGAAGTACCTTGGACATTTATGCATTTGGCAGATGCTTTTAATACAAAGTAAGTTACATTGAAATCAAGTTATCCATTTTATCATTAATGAACGTAGTGTTAGTGCCATGCTCTATTATAAGAATGTCATATAATATTTTAAAATTAACATTATTATATATAGTATTAAAATGGTTAACATAAATGTTGAATTTCCAGCAACAACAATTGTGAAATATTGCTGTGATTTTGACCATTCCAACCTAATTCATTATCTTTTATACAGCATGTATATTCTGTGATGTGTGTATTGGCCACCTTGCTCTCTACATACGAGTAGCTGTATCAGCCATTGAAAAACCCTTTGACCACTAGCATGTATACGTTATAAGATAATAAATAATGATGGTCCCTTAAAGCAGTTAGCTTACTTATCAGCTCCAGAATTTACAACCTTTACCTGCACACATCTGAACAAAATGTACTCTGTCAACTACCTTCGTTGACCTGCACTCATCCTTCCACCATACAATGTTATATTTTGATAGTTTTGGTACCCAAAGCACACCAATGCACAATTTCCAGAAACATTTGGTAACACTTTACTTGAAGGGGTGTACATAAGACTGACATGACACCTTCATAACCATGACATGACATATGTCATGAATATGAAGTAGGGTTTATGCATGTTTATGACAACTGTCATTAAGTGTCTTTCGCTCAATAATGACATTTTGAATGCAAATATGACATTGTTTAAGATGTCTTTGTTATGACACCTTGACATAAACCATAACATCATAACTTGTCAGTGTCTTTGTCATGACAACTTGACATTAAATTAAGTTAAACTGTCATGTGGTTGGTTTTGACATTGGCTGTCATGAGGCATTATAACTGTGTCATGAATATTTTTCGTGACCTCAACTACAGTGGTACAAATTGAATTTGTCATTAAACAGTTATAATGGCTTCATGACAGCCAATGTCAAAACCAACCACCTGACAGTTTAATGTAATGTTAACCAATAAAGCTAAGTGCTTTCTTAAGTTTGATAATTAATCTGCTATGTCATGTTTATGACAGGTTGTGTTGTCTTAGTAATGTCAAGTTGTCATGACAAAGACACTGACAGGTTATGATGTATTGGTTTATGTCAAGGTGTCATAACAAAGACATCTCAAACAATGTCATATTTGCATTAAAAATGTCATAATTGAGCTAATGATAGTTGTCACAAACATGCATAAAACTTCCTTCATATTCATAACATGTGTCATGTCATGATTATGAAGGTGTCATGTAAGTCTTATGCACACCCCTTCAAGTAAAGTGTTACCAACATGGTATTAATAGGAATGCATATGAGAACTTTATACCGTTTATGATGTTTCTGCAATACTGATATCAAGCCAGTTCCTTATAAACATGTTTATAAACCACATGGCAAATAAAAGTAATGCTGATATGGTTATCATTAGGGATGCACAATTTATCGGTCATACAATCAATATTAGATTCAAGCCTTTATTGTGAACGCAATCACAGGTTTGAAAT